GGGGGGGGCTTAAAATGGGAACTTTACAGTATTGCTAAATAAAATAATCTTTCTAAAGTGTTGATACCAGGCTGTCATAAGAGCCGCAACCCATAACACCTGTTACAGGTGAGTATGCTCAAGAGACGCACTTGATGTTACAGGTGAAATTGCCTTTTGTTGTTATAATTCACCCACCATGTAACAAGTTTGTTACAGATGTGAAGATCAAGGCTACAGATGACTGAAAACTTAATTACAGGCCTGAATGCTACTCACAGGTTTCTCTGTTCTCTTTACTCTCACAACACTGGAAGAATCTTCCTCTTTCCTCCGTGGCCACGATGCAGAGCGGCCAAGATTTGGAACATCAGGAGATACCTCGTCCTGCGAGTCCTCACTGAAGTCAGCACTTGTTGGCTTTTCAAAAACAACAGTAAATATTGATTAAAACTATATGTACCAGAATGCTTGACAAGGCAGTACCCTACCCTTAAAAATATACATACCCTTCTGCTGGTGCCTACAAGTTTTACAAATCCCCCTGGATCTAGTCTTCAAAAAATTATGACTTGGTATTTCATCAGGTTAAACCACTTTACTGCTCCTTTCAAGAACATGCGGACTCTAAAATTCAAAGGGCAACCAACAAATGCAGTTTTGGCTACCATCAATCAAATATTCGGCGGCTCCTCTCAGCTTCCGACTATGTTGTCTGAACCATGCTCAACAATTTACTTTGATTATCGCGCACTCTGCAGTAGTGGGAAGCTGGGAGGAGCCCCCGAACATTTGATTGACGGTAGCGAAAAACACATTTGTCGGTTGAGCTTTGAATTTTAGAGTGCACATGTCATTGAAAGTCACAGTAAACAATTAACTTGTTGATCCCCATTGTAGTAACAGCGTATTGTAAAAACCAGAATGCTGCCACGCCAGGTGACAGTTCAATAGTGGTTTATAGTCTTGTTTGCGTAAGCTTCTTAGGGTGTTCTGAGAGGTTTGCATATTGCTCACCTCAATACAGCGTGTTTACCAGGGTTCAAAGGGGCACTGTCAGAGGAAAATTCTCAAAACCACAAAAAGAATTGACTCCAGGAAGGAGTCAAAACAAACCCCTGGCCACCTCCTTCACATCAAAATTTTTAACCAACAAGATTTTAAAAATGCTCTTACCAAAGCAGAAAGTCTTCTTGAAGATTTTTCTTTCTTTGGTGACAGTGACTTGTCATTGTTCTTCAGAAAACTCTTGAACGGTGACTGTAGAGTAGAAATGAAAGACAAATAACAAACGGGTCACATATAGTTATACTGAATTATTACTAACAGATTCTGTNTATTGTAAAAACCAGAATGCTGCCACGCCAGGTGACAGTTCAATAGTGGTTTATAGTCTTGTTTATGCTAGCTTCTTAGGGTGTTCTGAGGGGTTTGCATATTGCTCGCCTCAATACAGCGCGTTTACCAGGGTTCAAAGGGGCACTGTCAGAGGAAAATTCTCGAAACCACAAGAAGAATTGACTCCAGGAAGGAGTCAAAACAAACTCCTGGCCACCTCCTTCACATCAAAATTACCAACAAGATTTTAAAAATGCTCTTACCAAAGCAGAAAGTCTTCTTGAAGATTTTTCTTTCTTTGGCGACAGTGACTTGTCATTGTTCTTCAGAAAACTCTTGAAAGGTGACTGTAGAGTAGAAATGAAAGACAAATAACACACGGGTCACATATAGTATTATTATTAACTGATTCTGTACTACGAAAGGACTAAAATGAGTTTATTGTATAATGTAACAAACCATTTCTACAGGCTAGTTTTCATTAATAATAGAGTCACAGTTGCAGTCAGAGCCAGAGGAACAAGAACAACCAAGTGAAAGTCAAAAATCGGAATTATACATGTACACTGTAAGCTTGATGGAATTGGAATTGGAAGAATCAGAACATTTCCATTTTCTTTCAATTCCACTTACAACTCCGTTGCTTATGATCTACTGAAAACTAGATTGTCAGAGTTGGAAGCAGAAGTGGAAGAACCAACCAATCACAATGCCTGGAATCGAGCAATGCAATTGGTTCATTCTCTGGCTTCTGCGTGTGACTCAGACAATCAAGTTTTCATTAGATAATAAGCAACAGAGTCATTAGTAGAATCATTATTCCACTTCTGACTCCGTCAGTTTGATTTCCAATAGATTACATCACTCAGCCCTTCTGATAAATACTCTGACTCCAATACCATCACTAGCGAAAACCAGCCTTACAGTGTAAATACGACACATCTGGACTGCTATTATATTAGGAGCACACTTTGTTTAAGATTCAACCTTACCATCACCCCTTACACCATGGACGAAGCTCTTGAGAACAAGATCAGTGGGAAGCCAATAAGATACATGTAAATCTAAATTGTATTTATTATCACTGCGTTACTAAATTGTTAAATATTTTAAGCTTAAATATTTATGTTTACAGTTAGACAATTCAAAGAACGCATCTAAATGAGACAAGTTCCGTTACGTACCGCTGTGAGATTCTTCCAACCAATCCTTCTTTCACCTCCTTGTAAAGAACTTTCACTTAATTCTTGGGAGCTGCTATAAGCTTCATCGTCAGTACTTTTATCAGTTAATTCTGTCGATGAAGTTCGGATTGATTGCCCGGTGGCGTTACCTCGAAATGTACTTTCTTGTGAGCTTGAGGCAGTCACGTCGTCTTCGTCGAAGGCAAACGGATCTCTCTCTTCAATCACTCCTAATTTTCTTCTTTTACTTGTCTTCGATGAATCAACAGCTGCCTCCTTTATGACACTAAGATTACTTTCCACAATTCTACTCGTCCTTGACCATGGAGACCTTCTTGCAAGCCTTCTTGTGAATGTGTTTTCCGAAGTAACGTTTGCTTTCGCATTCTCACTTTTTTTAATCTCGTCAAATTCCTTGGAAATTTTCGTTTCTCTGGCGCGATTTCGACCATAAGTCTTCGTGTCGTACTTCGGCATGAGTTCTATCTTGTGAAGAAAGATGTTTAGCGAGAATCAAGAGAAAATTTCGCTTGTTTTCGAGCGTGTGATCATGGTTAAAAGTTCTTCTCTGATAAATTCGTAATTTACCGGGAAGCCAGTCGCGCATATTGTTGCTTTGGTGGCCGCTGTCATTTCCAGCGGGCGCGAATTTATGGCGCGAAAACAAAGTGAAACATAGGCACGTAGTGCGTCCAAATACTTATTACGGGTTTTTGACTGGAGGGCCATTAGCCTAGCCTGGGCATTACACTTTTAGAAAGAAAGGGGGAGAGAGGCTGGAGAGAGGAGAAAAAAAAGCAGTATCCTGAGGGGAGGAGAGAGGAGAGGAAGGCAGAAGCTTTTCTCCTTTTCCCCTCTTCCTTCCCCTTAGCAACGCCTGACACCCAGGCTAGAGGGTCGCGCAGGCATTGGTAGTACTAGAGACTTATAACTAGAGAAGTTTAGAAATGAAAATTATATGAAATTGAGAATTACAGGGTTCCCGGAAGTACAGTGAAACCTGTATTAAGCGGACACCCTTGGGATATTCAGTATTGCCCGCTTAATACATGTCCGCTCTAAGCAGGTTCTAAGATATTGGATATATGGTTAATTATTAACCCTTTTGTAACACAGTGCAAAGACTGCTCATAGCACAATGTCCAGTTAGTCAATGCATCAATCTGGAATAATTTACTTATTGCGGCCTCAACTGATGACATCTCTGAACAATGTTAAAGGAGTATGAGCTGAGCTTTTTGAAGTAAAGAGCCCTTGAAGTGTCCGCTTATTGCAGGTTTTGCGCTAAAAAATGGCTTAATATTGGTGTCGGCGTCCGCTTAACAGAGGTGTCCGCTGAATGCAGGTATATTTTACAGTAAATGTGGGAAGAAAATTTTGGGACTCAAGCTGGTGTCCACTTAATAGAGGGTGTCCGCTTAACATGGGATCCGCTTAATACAGGTCTCACTATATTAAATAATAATACTGTATATTTTGGTCTTGCAACTATCAGCCTGCTTGTAGTTCGGTTCTTTCCTGTTTGTGAAGTTCGAAGAGTCAATTCACAAGCCAAAATAAAACTAATAAAAACGTAGAACGTTAAAACGTAAAACGTCATTAATGATCAAGAGTTCGGGAAACGTAGAAAGTGTAGAAACAATGATCTAGTTTTTGCAAAAAAAAATACGACACTTTCAGTTCAAGGTATTGTGAGGCTTGTAAGTTACGTTAGGAGCCCAGGTTATGTGCGCACGCGGATGTTGAGCTCAATTTGAAAACGTTGGGCCGACGTATTCAATTGGCTTGACTTGTAATCCTGGAAAAAATCGCCCAAGACAAATTACAATTCCCCTCCCCCCTCCCCCTCAATTATCCACTAACTCAATCTTCATCGTCAGCACATTTTATATGAGTGAAGATACTTTGTGATAAATTGTGTATCGTTTTTACCATGGAAAGAGTCGAGAAATCCACGATGAAGGTTTCCTTGTTTCCTCAGTCTACCGTCAAACAAGTGAACGGTGGAACTGAAAAAAAAACATACGTCGAAGCTAACTTTATGACCCAAATTTTTGTGCACTTGCCAAGTAAAATCATTCGGAAACAGTGTTTCGTTGTAAAATTAACTTCGGTTTTACCGAAGCCAGATCTGGTTATATTAGCCCGACAGCATTACAACGTGGGGACTGACTAACTTTTGGTCACAGATGCACATCTTCTCATTTTCAACTTCGTGTAGCTCACGCGCGGTTATGACGAAACGTCGCGCGCACATGGAGATTTCAGCGATCACGCGCATACAGAAATCAGATAGATCACAGAGCATTTCTTCTAATCAGCTAGCATGTTGCTTTCCTCTTATGGCTTGACAACTGACAAGTGATCGGCTTACAATCTCTCATGTCTCAGCGCTTGGTGCCAGTTGGTCTTGATAGAAGATGTAATTTTCCATTTCTTGACATCACATCGTGCGAGCGTCACGTATTCAATTGACAAGGTGATATCAGCATGAGCAGAAACCTACTTCTCCTAGCCGCTATCGAACAGATCCACTTGATAGCGATTTCCTAGTTAACTTGTGTCTGTCAAGCTGTCGCCAGTCGGTCTGGAGAATTCCTTATCGTGGTTCTTTCACTTGCAGCTTGTCGCCAAAGAACTTTATAGCAAGATGAAACACGAATCGCTCGAGCGCCGGCCATCCATGCTTGCTCGTTCCAACATTGCACGTGAAATTTTTAGTCAACTTCACTAAAAAAAAAACTCTGCTTTTTAAGAGATTTTTGATGTCGGTTAGATTTAGCGAAAACGTTCATGTAATGAAAAAATTTTTTCTCCAACTCAAAGGCCACTGTGATCATTGTTTTGTCAATGACAGTAGTTTTGCAGGAGTTTCTAAGTGCCCGCAGGTCTTACGTTAGGAAGATGTTAGGAAGAGAGTCCATTTTCCAATTGGAACTGACCGACGTGCCACTCATCTCTGAGGTAAACATTACGTTGTTTGCCTAAATTTTATAACTTCAGGCGCAATCAGCAGTGGCATCGGCGCCCGATTCGGAATCGACCAGTTCGTCAGTTTGTTTCGTTTCGTCGTTTCGGATTTTCCCTTACCAAGAGCACACAAGACAAAAACTTACTTCTCAAAAATCTTATTTTCGTAAATGCGTCAATTTTTTCACGATATTTTTTTTACTCTGTTTACGGCGCTTTATATATACAGCCCAATTTTTTAAACTGGCTTTTGAGAAAGCACTTATGAATTAATATTTTTATTGCAGACTTGTTTTTTGTCCGAGATGTTAGTTTATTGTTTAAGCTTTAATTCCACATTCACTTCAAGGATACAACAGCACTAGAACTAAAGGGGGAGAGATGAATGGCCGTATTTTGACATATTGAATCTTCCCTTGTTTTCTCGATATTTAAATACACCTAAACTAGCAGACACTCTGGCCCCTCGGCGGATTGACTAGCTAACTGAAATCCAGTTCAAACTATGGAGAAGCGAATCGACAGGGTTTTAATGGGATGTAGTTTTATTTTATCTTTGAATGAGGTATTTCCGATTTGTCATTACGACAAACCTCTCCATGACCCGAGGATTTTGAGAGAGAAATATTGAAACGTCGAGGTAAAATAGAATGCATTTAATTTTTTCCGTGTTTTCGAATGGTTTCCTTGACAAAACTGAAATGAAATACAGGGGTGTTTTTATATTTATGAAAACGTGTTTGGAGCCTATCATTCCTAGAATGAAGGCGCAAATGAGAAGAAAAACGTCTAAAGAAAAGGCGTGAAAACTTGATAGAACGGAACGGCAAGGGGGTGTAAAAAATAACAAGAGAAGAAGTGCTGCGAGGAAGAATTGTGCGCAATTGTATTTGAACAATTTAAAACGACTCAAAACAGATTACCCTCAATAAAAGGCCGGAATAACAGCCTATCGACCTCCAACGTGAGCGAAGAATTGACTTCAATGAAGCTTCGTTGTAAGATTCTAGATTTCAAGCTTGCTTCCATCTGGAAGCTCTTAAAATTAATAACACACGCTGTCACTGTTTGCACATCCACAGTGGATCTAGGCTTGGCGCCCACTGCTTCAACAAGTCAAGGCCAAAATTAGCATCAAGAACAAACAGACAAGCAGCTGAATTCCTTTTTAAGATAAATTTGCTTTTGTGCAATGTATCGGGCGAAGGAGTTGTGCCATTCGGCTACAAGACAATGACGCTGGCGGCAACTTTATCATTGAGCCCTTGGCAACCATTTTCTTAGCTACGCAAACCCAATGTATTACACAAGGCAAAGAGAAAGGCCATTTATTAGACTGAATTAAAGAAATCAGCTAGCGGATCAAAGCCTCGGCCACAATTACTTCTTGTCCTATTTTCATTACTCTCCATTTGAAAACTGTCGAGATCAAATCAACTTTTTCGGAGCTCAATAATCTTTGGAGAATCTTGTCTGTGGTGAAAGCTTTCGCTCATGATCAAACACAACCGACAACGCAAAACCTCACCGACGTCTATCACGCCTGTCGCCTAAAGCTTGATAACAGCAATAACTATCACTCTGGTAGAATCTCGCTATTAAGACAAGTGACAGCTCAACAGCTCAGCTGTCGAGGGGACGATCTAAATTACCTGCATAAAATATGTACAAAATTCGAGCAATTTTGCTGATATTATCACTCTACTTTTCTGCGCTACCACAATTTTATACGAACTAGTACTGCTTCAGTGATGCGATCAAGATAAATCAACCAGAACTCGATCCATATCGAAAGACCACTCTCAGATAAAGATCGATGCGTTCTATCGTGTTCATAAGATTGATAACACTTTAGTGAGGCATTTGGAGACGCCGGCGTATTTTTATTCCCCTAAAAGCAATTTTCATTTCTCATTTTCAGCGCGGTATCACATTGACCTGCCAAATTCAACACGACCTCTTTCTGCTTGTTTGACAACTTCGACAGGCGGCCTTGTTTTAAGTAAAGGTGATTTACAGTTGCTAATGTTATCTCATTAAGATAGATCAACTTGAAAATATTCATTTAATTTTTAGTTAGGAATCCACAATTTGACAGTTCATTTCCTTCGAAGCGACAGCGCGAGATTGGTTTTCGCAGCGGGCGAGCCACGAATCCACAGATTGATTGACAGTTGGTAATCGATATTGTGTGAAACGTGTGCTAAGATACGACAGAATAAACAAATAGCTGGTAATTGTCGTTTTCGCCCTCAAACCGAAAATTGAACTCCCTTGTGAAAACTATTTGGACATGTGGCAAAACTCATGAAAATGTCTTTTAAGTTGCCGCTTCCTTTAGACATGTCAGAACTGTCAATACAAACGTGATCAGTTGTTAATGACAGAGACTTATTTCTGTCAATCAAACATTCAAAAGGCTTGTTCGCGAATAAAAGGAAAATAGCTTCAAACTTTCTGTCTCCAAGTAATGCCCCGCAGCGAAAGAAAAAACCGCTATCTCAAAATTACCACGTTTATCAAAATGATTCCATCTAGGATGTTCTTTAAGAGATCTCTGCGGTCATTTTCATTTTAAAGATAACGTCTAGAACATTTTCTCTCTCTCATAACACGGACTAGAAACTGTACAAGCGGCAAAGAAAAAAAGATTCCGAAAAAGATAAACTCAATTCTTGTTTCTCAAGCAAAACAAACGAGACAGCTTTTAAGCTAAAATAACATGTTTTATTCATTGGATACAAGTATGTTCTTTTTATCTAACAAAGTCTACACTTTTCAGGCGAACAAATGTCGCTCCGAAATGGTTTATTCTAAGTGCAAAAATTACTCCCCATTATAAACCAACAATAAAATGCGCTAGAGAATTACTCCAAATTCATTCGTATTTACACCCAAACCATTTATCTTCCTTCAATATACAACGGTTAGCATCTCGAGTGCTCTGTTTCGTCTTTGTTTAAAAATCACTAGAGTCACAGAGCAGTTTCCGTTAAGTCCATTTTCATGCAAGCACTCATCACTCGCTTTGACTTACTTCAGGCCAATATTAAAGGCTGTAAATTTAGCAAGGTTCGTTGCCATTCAATCTCTAACGCACTGTCTATTGCACATGTCGATTATTTGAAAAGTCTGTGCGTGTCGTAACCGTGAAGGGGATATGGCGAGTAGCAGCCTGTCGGAGCTGGTGAAAAAACCGGTGGTTTGTAATAGTAGGGCCTGTATCGCGCGGAATGCAAAGTGGATTGAATAGGACTTGTCCTAAGCTTGCACGGACACCCATGTACGTTACATGTCGTTTGCGCGTATGGCGAATTCACTTGGCTTCCCGCTTGCGTGTGGGTTCGTAGATGCTGAAAGAGATCTTCCGAGGTTGAGAACGATTTTCCACAGTGTTTGCTCCCTGCCACCCAGTTACACACGTATGGGGACGCCTCATCGGCCGCCCCTGGCTTGTAGAGTGCCATACCATGGGGGTAACCGAAGCACGAAAAAGGCGATTGTGGGCTTTGTTCCGTTTTCACACCGTCGCATTGAGCGCAATGAGGACCGCACTGAATAGGCGTCGGATAGGCGTACGGTGAAAACTGGGGCTTACAGTTTGTGCAGTTTACATCGCGACACACGGTTCTCTGGAGGTAGTCCATGTAGGGCGTGTTGGCAGCGGGGCTATGTAGCGGGAATTGATGACGTCCAGCGCTGAGTGCCGGTGCTGCATCCCCAGTGTGTGGCGAGCAGAACCCGCATCCACACTGCGGAAAGCTTGTTGGAAAATTCAGCGGCATCGACGAGGCTAGACCGTGCGTTTTCAGACTAGAAGAGACAGTGTCCTGTCCTGTTGGCATCGGATACGGTTGTATCGTTGTCTTGAACGGCAGAATAGACGCTGGATGAACGCAACCAGCCCCGCACTCTTTATGCAGTGAATGAACACCAAAACTTTGCTGACTCGGATCTAAGAACATACCGCACACTCTACTTTGCGAACTCCCACGGTGGCTTTCGTCGCTTGTCGGGTATTGCAACGAAGAGGTCTTCGCTCGTTCCTCCTTGCTGCTCGTAATAGGCGATACAGAGGTGTTATTTTCTTTGCTCGGAGCGCGGAAACCGGCCTTTTCAGCGCTCATTTCGTCGAGTTTTTCGCCGGCGGTGTGTTTGTAGGGTTTAAAGGAAGATCTTGTTTCGTCGTCGCTTATCTTTCGGGCTCGAGACGTGTTATCTCCCTCAGATTCGCCTGTTTCTTTTGAAGGCTCGGTTTTCCCAATGCTGCTACAAGTCGCCGCTAGAAGAGCCAGAGGAGACTTTTTCTGCTCATCATCCTAGCGAAATAAAATAAATAAAACTGCGGTTTGAGTTGACCGGTAAGAAGTGAAAATTAAGGTTAATTTTACCAAAAGGCTACTTTCGCATTACTCGATAACTTAAGAAACCTTCGTGAGATATTTCAAAACATTTAGCCGACATTCGCCGTAGTACCTTGAAAGGAAGTGGCTGAATATACTCCGGGTTACATTTTGAGACACTTTGCGTCAACATTTGTAAAGCTTCCAACGGTACCCGATTGCTAGGACGAGAGATATCAGGCGAAGATTCTGTAGCTTTATGAGCGATTGTTCTCGTCGGCATATCTGGTCTGTGTGTGTGTGCGGTAGGCCTTGTGAAATATTAAATACTGGACAATGAAAGGTGTAGATACACAAGAAACGAGGCCGACTACAGACAAAGCCTGAGCGCTCTTCTGTCGTAAATGAATTGGCTAGATTAGAGAACATTCGCCGCCGACCAATCAGATCGCATCTTTAGCGATATTTCACTCCTTCATTGGATAATCAAACTGACAAACTTGTCATTCTTGGACATCAAAGTAATTGGCTATATAAGATATTGATTGATGATTTGCCGTTTGGCCAATCACGACACAGGAGTTAATTAAGTAGTGGATCGCCTACGGTGTCAGCGCGCTGCTCAGAAGCAATCAAGCTGTCAATCTTCGTCAATTATTTTTGTCACCTATTGTTTGAAGATATGTGTTGAAGAGAGTTGTGTAAAACTTGTCAATTTCCAGCTTGGTGTCCGTTGTGTGTTTAAAATCGCGCTTTTGTCCGCATTGTTTCTGCTGAAGAGCTTCGCATAAAGCGCGTTTCAGCGGGGTTTTCAAGGTCCACTGGTACGTTGGCGTCGCGTTGACGTGTGACCGCGGTTGGAAACAAGGTTCTCCTAACATATGTATACGGTTCGGCGCTGTTTGATCCGATGACACTTCTTAGCGTTATCTTATCAGTCCATCAATCAAACCTACGGGCGTTCGAGGCTTATGAATAAGATAAGATAATGTGTTGACATGTCTAATAGCCTTGACAGCTCTGTCAACTAACTCCAAATGCTTGACTGAACATTTAGAACACCATTAGTACTGACCAAAGGACCGCCAGGACGTGTAATAACATATCCTTCAAAAATCTTTATTAACCAAACAAAGGCCTTCAGGCCAACGGGAAACTCATTTCAAACTCGAACATCGCCAATATGGCTTTCGAAAACAACGCAAAACATTCACCCTTCAGACGCCTGTATTTGCATAATTAATTCTGCAACTAATAAAGCAATTATAAGAAGCGATAACAGATCTTAAGAAGCTTAAAATAACGAAGAAGAGAGAATTCTCTGTGTTGTTTTTTCCGAACGGTCGAGAGTTCAGTGGATAACTACATTAATTTTCATTCTTAGTGAGAGGAGGTTGGCATCTTGTGTTATTTATCTAGATTTCGTTCAATTTCGAATGAAAGACAGTTCGCTGGCAACAAGAACAGGCCCCGGACAGCTGGGAGCGCTTTCACAATAACCTTTATAAACAGCATGTAGGAGTGTTTGCTTGGACCCCAAATAAAAGCAGATGATCTTATAAGATAAGAATTGAAAATTCGCTCGGGAAGTTATTAAATGATAGCCGTCACACGAACGCCATCGCGACTGGAGACAGAAGACTACGAAGACTATCACTTCGCCAAAAATAAGCCCTTAACTAAACAAAACTTTTCTTTCAAAGAAAAAAAACAGGAATCTTTTTTTTTCATCCGCTCTGTGGGCTTTTTCATCAAATATTCCATTAAAAAGCTACCAAATCCCCCCGGACAAAGACTTCTTGCGGGTAGCTTTGACAATACGATGAAGTGGTGAAAAGCTTTTACAATACAAACAAAGGCCCTGGATAATTTTTATTTTACAGTCACAACTCATTCCGTTTTTGACAGGTAATCTATAGTTATCAAAAACAAACAATTGCCGCCGCCACAACTGTCAAAACAAGCCATCCGCCCGTCAGGCTGTCACTGCTTTCATTAGAACTAAAAACACAACCCCTTTTGCGGCAAAAGCACACGCGTACCCTTATTGAGTTTAATACACCGTCAAACAATCTTATTAGAAGTGCTCTTAATAACTCGTCTGGGTCCGAGAAGAGGGCATTGCCGTAAATTGAGCGTGGAATTATTCGGGGCTTTACTTGACTAACAAAGTAATTAAATCTTGTACGACGTGTTTTGCAAGGCTCTGCTACTTAAATAGCTCATTAGCGCCTGAAGCTGTCATGTGAAAAGATGTTTGGCGCTCTTGCAATATGACTGATCGCCACCGAACAAGATGAAAGAGTGCCGCGCTCTAGAAGCTGTCATTTTAAGGCGGAAATGTCAGCCGTTTCTCAAGTGTCCTGTCGAACTTGTCTGCATATCAAACAAACCCAACTAAATGCTCTTGGGCATTTGGCGCCAGCCTGACCAAAACATGCGAGCAAAACGCCACGCCTTCACTACCTTGCACAGACCAGTACCTGAGTGCCCGGGGGAGTAATCGCTGAAATTTTATGTGGGGGTATGCGGCCCGCTTCCCAAAACCCTTACCCTTTTTTAGACCAAAATCTGCGATTTTCCCTACCGTATTTACGACCTGAGCAAAAATTCGAGACCCTATTTAAGACCTGACCTTTAACAGAATACCCAGTTTCAGGCCTCCCTTATATAATTAGTTCCCTGGTTCAGGAGACCAATGTTTCGGTAATGATTATATGCTTTTATTAGGTAGGATAGCTTTTTCTAAAAAAAACTTACCCAACTCAAGACTAGAGTGCAAAAACAATACCCTATTTGAGACCAAAATGGCCACAACTGATGCGCTACTTCTGATCAAAACGGCTAAAAACAACCATACATTTTGAGGCCATACATACCTATATGGACGATATAAGAGTGAGTAACCCCCTTCCCCTCCCCCCCCGGGCCTAAGGGGCTCTAACTATTAAAACTATTAGTCAATATATCTAATACATTAAAACGAAAACTGAGCAATTTTTCGCTATTTCTCTTTCAATTTTGCAACATCACTCATTTTTCACTTGCCCCAACAACACACCGTCTTTCTGTCGCCGACTGCCATATGTACTAGATATTTGCATGTGTCTCTGATGCATGGCTCGACATGTTGAGCAGATGATGCTATGATAGCATAAATATATTTTTACAGCGATCTACAAATGATGTATTTTCAAAGGTGCTTGTATTGTCTTCAATTTAAATACTTTCTGGTATCAAGTCGTATCAGGCTTTTAAAGTATTTCATTCTCTGAAAAAAAAAGTCTTCTTAAGTTCTCTGGCGACGCACGTTTATATGTATATATATGCCAGAGACCGTATTGTAATTTACAGCGCAGGTGAAGAGGAAGTTAAAATGAAAAAAAAAAACACCCACAAAACTTGGGAATTTGGCATGAAAATTTCCATGGCCCTCTTTAAGTTTTACTCAAAGTGTCGCTTAGTTATTTAAAACATGAAATTAATCCAATTCCTGCGAGCGAATGAACTCGGCTCTAATTAAAAATTTGCCGCGTTCTATTCAAACAAAACTCTTTGTCGAAATACTCAACAATTTATTTAGTATTTTACATTTCTTTCATATTTTCTTAGGTAGTTATTATAGCGGAATATCTCGCTTGTCTGCAAAATATCGGAGCTCAACAGTCGAGCGCCGGGTGTCAAGAATAACTGCCAGGCAAAGCTTTGAATTGGTTGGAAGTTGTATTTTTTGGTCCCATTTGGCAAGTTCCGGAGTAGATAGCAAATTGTTGGACGAATGTCAAATGCTAAAAAACTCAAAACCCTCGAAGCCACTTGTGATGTAAGTGCTAAGAAAGGAAGAGGTTGTGTTGCACATTCAGTGTATTTCCTACGCGCGGCCACAAAATCTAAAGAAACATTCAGGAGTAATTTGGCACGCGCGCTCCGAGTGGCCACGTTTCGTGTGCACTCGTGCGCTGCGTGGCCTCGATTGAAACCATGGTGGGCGGCTGTTGTTTGAAAATTGATCGAAGCCCGACGGAGTATTAATGATTTACCTGACAAGATGTTTGTATTAGTTATTGTTTTCAGTTGATGGGTGGGTGGGATTGGAAAAAATTTCACCGCCTTGCTGAGCACTCGAAAGAAAAGCCATGAATCATTTTGCGGTTCAGTAATCCTTAAACGCGCTTACGCTGCGTTGCTGCGATTTCGTGTCGATTTCAATCTTTCCTGACTAAGACATTTGTCATTTTCTTGCCGAAATCAATCATCTCGAGACAGATTATGTCAGTTTCAAACCGCCAGCAAATAATTCAACACTTTAATCAGCATATAAATAGCGCAGTTCAATATAGCCATGATTAAAAATCGCCAGTTTGGCCTATTAGAAAATCAATTTTAAGTGTAATAAACGCGCCCAACCTCTGAGTCATTTTGTGGAATGATTCCACTCTTTGTGTTTCCTTGTCTTTATCTCGAACGACAGTCACGTTTTGTTTTCAACCATTCATGTACAGATGCAAATTAATCATAAAGTGATACATTTTGATTCCGCTCGATGAGTGGATGCGAAAAAACGTGGCAAAATTCACTCTACTATAATTAAAAGTTTTTTGTATGTTCGTTTTATCCTTGAACGCAGTGTAGTCTTCTCAAAGCGACACAGTATCTTTGGCTGATGGGAGAATCTTAGCAACGTTAATGTGGTCTTTTTATTGTCTTCCTGCACAACCTTAAAAGTATAAAGTTTCGTAATTAAAACTTCCAAGATCCGCTCTTCACAATATCAAACATGATATATGGTGTTTTTGAACGACACGCTAAAAGGGTCTGGCAATGAACGGAAAACCCATCAAGTGCAAAACTGCGCTACCTGACAGCTGTCACTTGAAATTGATAAGTCGCTGTTGACAGCCAACATCAGCGCGTTTGTGAATATTCTGCAGATGAGTCAACTGCTGCAAGAGATTTGGCATTAGTGGTCGGCGACCAGACTGAAAGGCTCCGAATTGCAGATAATGATGTTCGCTATTATCTCATCTTTTACCTTGATTTTGACTGCTAGCGAGTTAATGACTTAGGCTGCGCTCGACAGCTGAAGTCTGTAGTGGACAGAACGCCACGACGCAAATCTTTTCTTTTTCTCAGTTTTGCGACCAAACGAAGTAACCCTATTCAATAAGAGTCAAAAATTGTATGCGTTGAATATGTGAGTCAAAAATTAGAAAAGATTTCCAAACGTAGCGAGCATATTCCAGAAGTCTCTAGATTTCTGAAGGGCACGCATAAAACCCCCTTAACACAACGAATTTAAAATCGTCTCGTCCTTTAGTTTTCTTGATTTCACTTCCGTGACTCTTGGACTTTTTTTATTTCGTATAAACAAACACCTGTATTTTTTTTATTCTTTACTAAGTTCGCTCTTTCACTGACTGCGTAACAGTTTCATTTGAACGAAAATAAGATTTATGTTTTCTGAGAAAAATTTAAATTGGAGCTTACCTTCTAGAAAACGATTACAGTTTCAGTATTCTGGAAACATCGTTTCCGATATATTCTCAAACTTCAAGAGTACTTGCAAAAACATGTCTAGTTTCAGTTCCTCAATGGCACTTC